AAATGAGATTTTAATTTAAAAGAAAGGGAAATGTAAAACAAAATGGGATTTCTAGAATTACCTCATGTATACTGATATCACTGTGGTTCCAATCTCAACCATGGAATCAAACTGCAAAATATCTTCAGGTAAGAGGAAGGTATCATGCTCAAAGCCAAACACTTCCTTGGGCATGTGAACTGTCAGAGTCTCGTTAGTAGGCAACAACTTGGTCTGGACATGTTGGCATAAGGCTAACAGAGGAGGTGGCATGTCTAGCTTTGAGAGATCCTGTTACAAGAAATAAATAAAGAAATATAAGTTAGTTTGTGTGTGAACTAAAATAAACGACTCTAACTAAACCCAAAAAACAGACGTGGTATATAATATAAACGACGGTTTCTAGTAAATACTGACGGAGGAAAGGTTATACATGTCGGTAAATACATAACCATCGTTGTGTTGAAATTATAACGTCGCTATACTATAGAAAGGTCGTCTAATTAAAATGCAGTTAATGAAATCATGAAATAGACAACGGTTTATAAAAGAGTTAGGCGACGGCAGAAAACACAGTCGTTATTTTTAATGTCTAATAATTTGCAAAACAAGTAAAAACGTCGTGGTATTTAACTAAACACGACGCGTCTTGTAAGAAAAAGACGTATATACTGTCGTTATTTTAAATTTTAACATCGGATATTAAAAGAAGCGACGTCTATTTAAAATTTAAAAGGCAGAAATAGAAAATAGTAGAGATTTTACCGTGTCCTCTTTCTGTTTTCCAGCAGTATCAGCTTCAGGCTTTGGATCTTCTAATTCCAAAGCTAGGGGTCTGATACCAGTGGCCCCAGAGCAGCTTGCCTTATCAGACATTGGATTTTTTGGGCTTTGATCTTGAGGGGGTAAAGTAATTGGAGGAATTGGGGTTTTGAGCATCTGGCTGGGATCAAAATTAGGAACTAGTTGACGGAAATATGCCAACATAGCCTCCCTCTCTGCTCTGACTGCTTCCATTATAGTTTCCCTTGACTTCGCCTCAATCCTCAAGGTCTTTTCTCTGACTGCCTCCCTCACACTTTCCTTCAATTTGTCACCAAATTTCACTCTCTGCTGTTTCGGCAAATTGAAGAACTCAATTGGGGAAACGCCAGAACCAACTCCTCTGACTCTCCCACCATGCTCGCCTTCGGAGACTTGCTTTTGCAAATCATCCTAAAAGAGAGAAAGAGAGATTGTTAGAAACTGAGCACGGTGTAAAACAGATAAATAAACCGACGTTGTAATTATAAACAACGACGGTTTTCTTAAATTACTGACGTAGTATTAATTTA